GTTTGCCAGCGAACAGTCCGCAATTTTAGATGGGGGGACACAGAGGGTAGACATTTGGACGTGAACAGTGTTCACTTGTTATAAAAAGTGTAACGAGTAATGTGTTCTGTAACCGAGCTGTGTCACGCGAAATCACAGAAAGACTGTCGAAATTCTGACATTCGCGAACCTTGCCCAGTAAGGAAACGGCTGTCTAGAATCAGGAAACACCTACCGGCGCTCTTCGTGCCCCAACGCTCCAACGTTTTTGCAACGTTCCAATGCGAGGCTCGTACGGAGTTGGAAAGCAGTGCGCCGCCTGCCCGCCGCCATATAGCCCATAGACTGGCACTCCTCGCACCTCTCGGCTTAGCTTAGTCACTCAATGGCTAATCGAGGTGGGAGCGAGTCCTGTCTATATATAGCCTTTGCACTCGCAACCTTCTTTGAAGAGAGTAAGCCTATACTAGAAACATTACCAATTTCGTATAAATAGATTTCGTATTTAGTTAGCATTATTATTTTATTGAAACGGTCGAAGTGCCTGTGGCGGCGCGGTCCGCATGTAGACTGGTATTACATTCCACACCTACGGCTACGGCTACGAATACTTGTATATACTACAAGTACATGTATACACTAATTACTACTAAGTACTACTACTAGTACTAAGTAGTAGTAGTTACTACTAAGTTACAGCCGCACTACTAGTACTACTATGTACTGTAACTACCAGGACCGCAGGGAGCTCATGTAATAGTAATAGTAATAATGACTAACTCTGTTACTAGTATTAACTTACTAATAATGACGAACCCTAACCATTCCTAACCTATATATTGATATAATATATATATTATATTGATGTAAATGACATTGGTTTTATTGCGCATGCCATACATTGGGGCCATATAATATTGGCGAGCCATGTTCTCTATCCTTGAACCACTAGTACTACTAGACTACTACGACTAGCAAGAAACGCTCTTTGCTAGGGTTAGAATACCCCTAGGCATAACTAGACACAGGCACTTCCAGCGTTTCAATAAAATATTAATGCCTAACTAAATACGAAATCTATTTAACTACGAAATTGTTAATGTTTCTAGTATAGGCCTACTCTAATAATGGCTAATAAAATAATGGTTAATATACAACTTGTCAGTAGGACTAGTACTACAGTACCAGCAATAGTCTTAATGTTTGATTTCACCTAATAACTTCACTTCAACACCGTTAAATACACCGATGCAACACATAGCCCGCACGGCATTGTGCATGCACAGATACACAGTAGATAGTCCTGAGCTCCACAACATAAATCACGTCAGGCTGCCCGTGTCCAATTGACTGTACCAGATTAAATATTCCAGATCTAAGAACTAAGATGGCCTACGATAATTAAAAGCCAAGTAGACTGGTACGACCTTCACTCAGCCAACTATCGTTGGCTATACTGAAGTGAGTTACGCTAGCGTGTTGAACGACCGCGCGCAGTCTAGGTCATCGATCGACGCGGTTTCTTAAAAAAAACTTGGAAATGGTACGTAGATGGACTCCGTTGCGCCATCTATGGGTCGCGATAACTTTCCAAATTAATGTGAGGGCATGATCCAAGCGAAAGGGAAAATTATTTTTCTACACTTTTTCGACGCGCGCCAACAAGCAAGGTAGCAATTTCGAGCATTTGGAGTTATTCTCGCCCTACGGCATAGGCCAAAGGCTTGCGGAAGCGCCAGAACTGCTCAATTGACGATCAGAGGCGATCTGATACAACCGTTAAAGTCATATTGACAGCGCAGCGATTCGTTCTAAAAGGCGCACCAGGTGCGCCGAAGCGCGCTTCGCGCGGATATCAGCTCAGAAACGTCCAGCAGTCCTTCACCAGCAGCTATAGTCGACACGCGGATACAAGTACCGCCTCGCGCGGTAATAGCCGAGTCTGTGATTGAACACTAGGGTGCGCTGCAGCCGCGCTCGCGTGCATCTCGAGCTACGAACAATGGCTTCTACACTTACGTAATTGTACGTCAGCACTTACGTAATGTACGTCAGCACTTATAATGTACGTCAGCAGTATACGTAATGTTACTCAGCACACTTACGTAATGTACGTCAGCACTTACGTAATGTACGTCAGCACTTACGTATTGTACGTCAGCACTTACGTAATGTACGTCAGCACTTACGTAATATACGTCAGCACTTACGTAATGACGTCAGCACTTACGTAATGTACGTCAGCACTTACGTAATGTACGTCAGGCACTTACGTAAGGTACGTCAGCACTTACGTAATGTACGTCACTTACGTAATGTACTCGCACTACGTAATATACGTCAGCACTTACGTAACGCCCCTCGAGTTTATTCGGTGATCGCGGGAAGACGAAACGGAGCACCGCGGTTCTAATACGAGGGGGAATCGCAGCAGGTGCATATTCATTTACAATGATCATGTCCAGATCAGATCTGCACGAAGCCTGACAAGCGCGTGTGTTTAGAGCAGTAGGCAGCAGCGGCGTATATATATATATATATATATATATATATAACGTGGGATTTTCCGGCTATAATAGCAGCGATAATATTGCGTTGCCATGCGACGTTCACTGCTTTGCCGTGCGTCTCCGGTTGGCGTGCGCGCACAAAAACACTACGGATAATACTAGCCTATAAGTAGAGATATAAACTTACCGTAGTGCATTTATTATCTCCCGTTTTAGAATTGCAACGTGCGATGTATATATATATATATATATTTACATATCAAAATGTCAGAGCGTCGTAGAAGGTTTATCGGTTTCGGCAGCGCTAACCTTATATGGCAACTCGTCATTAGTGTATTCGCGTAGGTGTAGCGTGGCATTATAGGAGCTGGGTAGACTGTACTGCGCAAAATATGCTTCAGAAAGACAAGATTATAATAGCCAGTTAATTTCCGTTACAATTTTCAGTTTTTACCTTAATCGTACTTCCATACATAATAATAAAAATAATTTGTATACTAACTTAAAATGATGTAGCAATTTCTTAAACAAAACTTTTTTTACAATTTTTATTTTATACATTTATAATGGCAACAACAAACCACAAGCTAAATCCCCGTGAGGTAGCTCAGTCGAGGCTGTGCCCCGTAGAGGCTGTCCAGGCCTCTTCTTCAACATGTCCCTAACTTACAATGATGATGATGATGATGATATAATAAAAATAATAAAATAATAATATGTAGAACAAGAGGAGTAAGAAGAAGAAATAACACAAGATAATATATAAGATAAAACACATATCATATCGTCTAGATAATACTCGTGATGGCAATATCCATGTTTACCTCCATGTTTTAGGATCAGAGGCGGTGACACAGAGTTCGTGCGACCGGGACTGATCGAGGTGCCGACGTGCCGGCTCCGAATCGTTCCCGGCATGCAACCGTACGCTAGCGACGCGCGCGTCCTCAAGCTGGGCGACACAGCGACGATGGTCGTCAGCATAAACAACAAGAACGGTGAGCGTGCTAGATATACACCATGCACGCACGCAAGCATACACACGCACGCACACACGTACGCACGCACGCAAGCATACACACGCACGCACGCACGCACGCACGCACACACACACACACACACACACACACACACACGCGCGCGCAAAGAGAGTTACGGCAGTATTAGCTATACTGCATGTAGAAACGCACGTTTTTCGTAACATGTGACAACTTTAATGATGCGAACGATGCGAATGTACGCGTAAAAACAAAAATATATCAAAAACAATGTCGATATCGGGATACGACTGCAACAACAATGTATAATAAATAACGTGAACCACGTAATGTGACTGTGACACGTAATGGACATACATTTACTCTGTCGGTGAACAAATAATGTCGATTTCGAAATGCGATTGTAATACCAACACATCTAATATAGACACAGAACACTGTGCACAAATAAATAATTTCGATTTCGACATGCGATTGTATAATATAACAACACATTTAATGTACATAGATAACATTGATTAATGTTTAACATTTTTAACATTTTAAAATTTTTTACATACATTGTACGCAAATAAATTTCCACATGCGATTGCAATGACAATGTATCGTAAAATAATACTATCGGTGACGTAATAATGCGAATGCCTCGTCGACGCCTTGCAGACGTGTTCGATATCTTCGTGACGAACTGCTATGGTCACGACGGCCTTGGTCAGACGAGGCTTCATCTTATCGATGACGGAGGCTGCCCCACGAGCGACAAGTTCATCAAGCCGGCCGTGTATGACCGCACGACGCACCCGGGACAGACGCACATGTACAGCCACTTCAAGGTGCCGATCCTCAGCATGGGCTTAGGTTTAGGTTTAGCGTTAGGATTGTATTTGCATGTTATCTACATCTTTTTGTCCTTTACATTCTTTACACACACATGCACACACGCACGCACGTACGCACGCGTACGCATACACTACACGTCTCTCTCTCTCTCTCTCTCTCTCTCTCTCTCTATCTCTTTCTATCTCTTTATCTCTTCCTCTCTCTCTCTCTCTCTCACGCTCTCGCTCTCTTTCTCTCTCTCTCTCTCTTTCTCTCTCTCTTTCTTACTCTCTCTCTCTCTCTCTCTCTCTTCCTCTCTCTCTCTTTTCCTCTCTCTCTCTGTCACTTTCTCTCTCTCTCTTTCTCTCTCTCTCCCTGTCTCTCTCTATCTCTCGTTTTTTCTCTCCCTCTGTTGCGCTCTCTCTGTTTTCTCTTTCTCACCTTTTCTGTGTCGCCCCTCTCTTTCAACACCTCTCTGTCACTCGCTGTCCTCATCTCTCTCTCTCTCTCTGTTCGCCTACTCGCCTCTTTCGTAAATGCATGCGCTGATCATGGCTCATGCTAATAACGCTTATCGCTATAGATAACGCGGGAAATTCCGCCAAAAACACCACACAGAGAATCTTCTCGAACGGGAGGTCCATAAAGGTGGTGCGTTGCGCTTGCTTGCTGGTGGCGAGAGAGAGAGAGAGACAGAGAGAGAGAGAGAGAGAGAGAGAGGGGGGGGTCGTACCTCCTTTTCTCTAATAACTGTTAATATGAACACGGCAAATGTACTACTACTACTATATATATATATATACATATAATATATACAGCTGTCACAAACGTTAACAAGAAAATTTTTTATATTCTCTCTTACCATCAACATGTGTAAATACCTTCAATCATCGTCACTTAACCTGTGTTGTTTATACCAGTGCATGAGAAGTACTAAAGTTAATTTCCGAGAGGTGCCGGCAAAGAAAAGCAAGTACGAAGTCTTACTAAATACAGTAACTAAAGGGGAATCCCTGCTTTGTCGTAGATTGGTGGCCGTCGCGTTAACAGTAGGCAGTGATTGAAGTTAGTCAAAGAGTAATCGACCAGCGCCGTGTGTTCTGTTACTCGGCTTCCGGTATTCGTCCGGAACAATATCATACCACGAACAAGATTTTGGCTTGCAGCCGATGAGTTAGCGCGATATGAGCCACACTCCACACATACGCGACGCAAGACGCAAAGCCAAAACTTTATTTGCACGAGATAAACGTAAAATAACTGTTTTGTATAGCTGAGTGTATTGAAAGTAGTGACGAACAACTAGTTTCGATCTATGTCAGAGTCTATCACCAGCTTCTGCGGTTATCCACACACTGTCGATGTCTTGCTCATTATTCAAAGTACTTGTAAAAAGTTCACGCGTCAAGCTAGCGACCAGATATATTATTCTGCCCCATCATGCTATATAGTCAGCGTTATTTTTTCAGCTGCCGAAGCCGACGGCGGGAGCGGGCGGTCACGCGTTCAGCTCTACGACTCCGATCGACTTTGATCACACGTACGCCTGGGACGCCGACCACGGCAGTGACCCCCCCATTGAGACGACGCCCGCAGCGCCACGCGGCGGCCACAAAAACAAACATTCGAGAACGAAATCCGGTGACGAGAACGAAGACGGGCACCGCCGCGCAGACCGGTTGGTAGATGGCTCCACCGCTGCGATCAACGCGACGCAGCAGGACTACGGCGGCTTTAGATTCGGCTCGCCGTCGCCGCAAATCCCGCCGCAGTCCCGCGCTGGCGCTGCGAGCGGAGGGTACAGCATCGAGCGCGGCCGACCGAACATGCAGAGCGTTCCGCGCGAGAACTACTTTCCCGGACCGGGCGGCGCCCAGCCGCAGGTGCCGTTCGGATCCGGTCCGTTCGAGCTGCCATTCGGCGGGAACAGAGGGCCGACAGGTGGCGCCAGCGTCAATGTGAAATCCGGATCGGTGCAGACGCGGAACTTTGAGGTGACTTACGGTAGCGGGACGGGCGGCCGCGGCCGCGGCGACAGCGCCACGCTCGTGCGCGGTACCATCCAAGCTGTCACTCTACCGTCAACGGAACTCCCCGGCGCGCCACCAACGCCCTACACCGGCCGCGGCCTGGTGACGTTCACGCGACGACCGCTAGGTGGCGCTCCCCCAGCGACGGCGGGGAACTACGCCGGACGCGGCGTGTTCACGTACAATCCGTACAGCAAGACGACGACGACGACGACGTCGGCACCCGTGAGGCCGCACACGTACAACCCGTACCCGACCGACGGTAACCGGGTCGGCGTCGCCGTCAACGAGCGATGGGAGAACGGTCGCAAGACGGCGGCCACACCTGCCGGCCGTTTCGTCAATCCCTTCACGTCGCCACCGCGAACGACGACGTCGCCTCCGCCGCCGCCACCGGAAGCGCGCCCGCCGCTCAACGCGATCCGGACATCCGGTCCGTACCACCGGGAGGCGACGGTGGCTCCAGACGATCCGATAGCGACCGAGCGCGGAAACGGTTACCTGCGCTTCACGTTCCGTTCGACGAGCCCGGCAACCCTGATGTTCAACCCGTACGGAGAGCCGCGCTCGACGCCGACGCCGACTGATCCGTACCTGCGCGCGGCCGTCGGCGGCGACCACGACGGTGGCGCCATCCGCGGGCAGTCCGAATTTGGCGTCTCGAAGCCGTCGATTGATCCGTTCGAGGCGCGCTTGGCGGGGAAGGGCGGACAGCGGCCGACGTCGTCGCGGTCGTCCGGTGACCGTTTCGACAGGTACGACGTGCGCGGATACGGTCACAAGCCACCGTCGACGCGTCGCGGCGACGACATCTGGGGCGACAGCAACGACAACACCGTGCAAGGTACGCGTCAACTTACATACATACATACATACATACATACATACATACATATATACATGTAATAATACCAGGAGTGTATAGTATCTATATATATGAAGAGTACATAATAAAGATTATGTATCGCTATTATGTACTCTTGATATATATCTATAAATACACACATAGTGTGTAATAATGTACATACATGTAATAATTGAATGTTGTAATCTAAGCAGTGCAGAACGTATATTCAGTCGGGTAGCTGTGGGAGACAACTTCCTAATTGATAGCAATGAGATTCAGTGACAACGCGCAAGCCATTACGAAGTTGATTAACGCCTTAATATGTAGCGTGTTAATATGTATGTATGTTAATAATGCGTAGTATGTTAGCGCTGTGTCATATGTAGAGCTATTATACAGAAGCAGGCGATAAAAAGATGTCCCCCGTACGGTTCACTGGGCTTCGAATGACGCCACGTGTCACAGTTTATCCTCACGAAGCCAAGCTATTATAGTTTATTCTCGCGCAGGAAAGACCAAGGTTCTCACATTCGTGTGTTTTGATGGTTATGGTTAGCGTTAGGCTTAGAATTAGGGTTTGGGTTTGGGTTACGGTTAGGGTTAGTGTTAGGAATAGGGTTAAGGTTAGGGTTAGGGTTAAGATCATTGACGTCCCGGTCTTAATAATATATCCGACAGTGATATGACTTATAATTATAAAAGAGTTTAACGAATCTATCATTTCATGGTCATATCTATATTTTTTCTTTTCTACGTGAACAAAATGAAATAAAAAAAATGCCTCAAAGATTTTCCAGCTGGTGCGCAAATGACGAAGGCAATACGAAGGAAAAACAATCGACGCCGATTTGTGAAACTAAACCGCACGAAGAGACCAAACGAGGATCTTCAATGCTACCGTACGAGCAGCAGTTACGAACGCGCTTAGACGACCAGTTAGTTTGTCGTGTTCCTGGTTCAACGTGACAGAGCAGAAACTCGTAGGTGTGCATCAGCGATATGCACGATGTGGTCTATTTAATCATCGCCGGCGTGTGGCAGGGTCGACGCGCATGAGAAAGCAAATACTCGTCGCGCGCCATTATTGAATAAAGCTCGCGTTATAGAACTCTCACCGCTAGCGTTACGCTCTACAATTAACGCAAACAAAACACAAGCGCCGCTTCCGCGTTGCGTATCGGCAATGACGCCACGCGTCCGCACGTCTGAGTACTGTCATCGGCGTTACATATAGATGCTGTCGAAGTATGTAGTTAGAAATAGCAGTAGTAGAAGTAGTGCGCCATGCTAGGCATACTTAGGCCATACTTAGTGCAACCATGCCTAGGCTCCGGCGCTTCGTTTCGATCTCTCTCCGACTTACTACATAGTAACAGTACGAACTTCGTTAACAGGGCTTTCGTATATAACAGTGTGACCCTCCATATAATAACGGTTCTCTAACTATTATACTGTCTGTCCGAGCGTGTCTATTTAACCGCATCTTAAAACAGGCCGGACGCCCTACAATCCGAACCGCACCCGCTGCTTCTGTTATTAGTGATATATTAACGCGCAATTGTCTGTAACCATCAGGGTGCGCGGTGGGGCTACGTATATATACGAGCACGACGTCCCATGTCATCACAATAACAACAATAACTTGCCAGGGTTAGAAGTATAGACAATTAGTCGCACAGCCTCGTCGGCTTGAAGCGCCATTGGTTAATTAGAACGCAATGTACAATACAACAGTAGCAACGACAACAACAACATCAGCTGCAGCAACAGCAGCTGCTGTTACAACAACAACTATAACAATAACTGTAGTAGTAGAAACAACAACAACAACAACAACTATAACAATAACGGTAGTCGTAGAAACAACAACAACAAAAACAACAGCAACAACAACAACAACAGCAATAATTATTATTATTAATAATATAATATTTATTATTATTAACAACAGCAACAATAGCAGCAGCAGCACAGTAGCAGCCTTATAGATTCTTCTGTGTTTATGTGCAATGGCCTTTTGCCTACTACCATCGCGTCCATTTTGATCTAGCCGAGCCAGCTCGGTACTAAGTGGCTGTCTGCATCTTTTTCATGTGGTAATGGTCTGTTTGAACTGCGCTACGATGGCTCTTAGATG